GGGGGGGGGGGGGGGGGTCTGGAAACAAAGGCTGTTAAGACATGAATAAAAGCTGATGAGAGTTCCTTTGCCTACATGCAGAGCTACAAACCAGTCCACCTCAGCGTGCTGCTCGTCTGAAGTCATGTTCCAACAGAGAGATGGGCTCACCAGCTGCCAGCCCTACGATACACGACATGTCAGCTGTTCCCAGTGGAAAAAACACCCCCGTCGCCATGGGAACTTTGAGCAGAGCTGGATCGTTCTAGCAACTGTGTGCCAACTCGATCTGCTCAGGAATGATAGAGAGAAGAAGAGGCGAGCCGAGACGTAGGAGAGTGTAAAAGAGAGACAGACAGACAGACAGAGAGAAGAAGAGATAGAAGGGTTGCCTGAAGACAGAGAAAGCTGTAGCCAAGACAATTGTATTTATGTAGCCCAATATCATAAATTTGCCTGAGGGGGGTGTGCACGTGTACCACAGGTTGGCACTCGCAGAAGGAATGTAAGTCAGCTGAAGCAGAGGTGTGTCACATAGCACCCGTCAGCCCCCACAGCACAATCCCACTACAGCAGGACCACAACAACAGCACACTGTGTTTAACTAATGAGTATTTTAAGTGTTAATTAAATAAGAATTTCTTGATGTAAAATTAATTAAAAAAATAAAAATAGTGAAAAACTGCCGTCCCGCGTTTTCTTTTTCAGGGCCGAAGCATTGTATCCTACAATGTGCTGTGACAGCAGCAGGTGATGAGCACTCGTGGCCTCACTTTTCTGGCTGTAACAAAGCTGACCAGTGCAGGACATCAGCAGACGAGTGCCGTTAGGATATCACTTCTCATCGTGTGTGTCTGTGTGCTGCTCTTTGATTCCAGCCTCTCGCACACACAAAGCCACTAAACACGCAAGGAATCTGCCAGCATTCCCGTCAGACCACAGCGCACCGAGCCTGATGGAGCCCATATACGGACACAGACTGCTGCAGATCAGACTCCCCCTCTGCTGACTCATAACCCCCCCAGACATAGAGGGGCAGAGTCAACCCAGGCTACCGTATGGAGTATGCATGTCTGTGGTTGATGCTCCATCTACCCCCTAAAACTCCCATGACTCATCTTTTTGGCTCATTACCACCCCCCTTTATGTGGCATCGCTATGACATCATCGCAACCCCTGACCCACAGCCTGACCTGATCCCAGCATCTCAGGGAGGGAGAGGGAGGAGAAAGCTCAGAGAGCAAGAGGAAAGGTTCTGCACAATATTCAGGCTGCACTGCCACATCTGGTTCACATTAGTCCTGAGATGTTGTAAAGGACCAAACAGCACAGCAGGTCTAGATGGGCCGGGGGTCTGTCCCTTCCCTGTCCATCGCTCATGGTGTCCTCATATTTATATAATCTACCCACCAACACATGACCATGCTTGTGTGACTTGTATGTATTCTAGAACTAGACTAATATATTAGATTATTGAAGATAGTATCCGTGTATATTTCGACCAATGGGTAACAACAAATCCAAAAATACGTTTGAAGTCATTTGGAAACATTAGTTTGTAAGTATTTGTTTGTAAAACATCACAGTCAGTACTGTCTTGGTCACATTTCTGTAAAAAATTTAAAATAAAGAGGAAAATTTAGGGGATCATTACCAAAAGTTTTTTTTTTTCATGTTATGCAATCAATAAAAAAAAATGCTATTGGTTGGTACATCATTACTGGATTGTCAAGTGGCAATATTTTCAACTTAAGTGTCGATATTGGGCTTTATGTTCTGATAGAAATGTGTAACTGTCTCCTGAAAAGTTTCCTAAAAATATATTGTGATGACTAAAACAGTAAGTATAAGGGGAGACAAAAAACATTGTTTTTCATGCACTGGTCAATTTTGAGATTTTTTGGCTACTTTGCTTACTTCACATGTCTTCTTTCAGACTAGTGGAGAGAAAACATCCAAAATACACATTGAGTTTATTTTACTACTGTCTATTTGCGTCTGCGGTTTTCTCCTTAAGTCACAAAAAGTTACCATTAGATAATGCCTTAATTGCATATTTAAACATAACGTTTGAGAACACAGAAAAATACTGACATGGTGATATATATTGATTGAATGTTTTCCCCAATTCACATGTAGACTCTCCTCGCACACATTTACTAAAGTTTGTACATTTTCAGTTCTGTAATTGGGATAAATTACATTCTGTAAAGTCTTGGATTAAACTGGGAGGGAATTCATTTTGATTTAGCCGACTCGTTATTATCACTGTCCCTAAGACATTATACACTCAACATTATCACTGACCCTAAGACATTATACACTCAACATTATCACTGACCCTAAGACATTATACACTCAACATTATCACTGTCCCTAAGACATTATACACTCAACATTATCACTGTCCCTAAGACATTATACACTCAAAATTATCACTGTCCCTAAGACATTATACACTCATTATCACTGTCCCTAAGACATTATACACTCATCACTGTCCCTAAGACATTATACACTCATTATCACTGACCCTAAGACATTATACACTCAACATTATCACTGTCCCTAAGACATTATACACTCATTATCACTGACCCTAAAAGTACAATGGTGGCCAAACACAAACACAAACACACACACACACACACACACACACACACACACACACACGGAAAAGAGGGAGTGGTTGGAGTGACCAAACCCTGGTCCGACAGTCTGAGGAAATGTCACACATTCCACACTGTCCTTATCACACATACACAAACAAACTCAGTGTTATGTTTTATCATGTATTATGTTCCCATCATACAAAATGGGGATGAACTACATGAAACTTCAGCAAAACCCACAAAGAAGCAGAAACATTTGCTTCACAACTGTGACATGAATTCAGCTTGTAGCCTCAAACTTCCAAAAGCTGAAAATCATTGACCTGGAGCTCTCTCTTCTTTCCCTCCTCCCTTCTCTAACTCCATGCAACAAGCCACACTGGAGGTACTACACTTCCTCCTCTTCCTTTCTACTCCTTCCAGTCCGCCTCCCTCCCTCCCTCTCTTCCTTCTCTCCACTCCCTCCGCTGGAAAAAGTTCCTCCTGGTTTTTTAGCCTTAAAAGGGCAGAAGCAAACTGGATTCTGGCAGCCCTCCCATTCCCTGGGCTCTGGTTACAGACGGAGGGAGAACAGCACAGGACAGGGAGAGGGAGGGTCGAGAAAGAAAAGAGGAGAAAAAAAAAAAAGGGTACGGAAAAGTGCTGTGTGGGACATTTTTAAAAGCCCACACTGACAATAGCACCCACTGAGGATGGACGAAAAATTAGAAAAATGTTGAAGGGATAGGGAAAGAAAGAAATATGAAAAACATAAAAACATGAGGAAAAGTGGGAGCGGCAAGTAAAGGGACAGGCTAAGACAGGGGCCGAGGAGGTGAGAGGAGGACACAGGCATCACATAAAATGACGAACAAACTAAGGGGGGGTTAACAAATACCAGGCTGCGTTGATCAACTGTTTGTTTCCTGGAAACCTCAGAGAACTGCGATGAACCAGAAGAGCAGAGTTTGGGTTCCCGAGTAATTGATAGTTCTCGGCCTTGCAAAAAGGATTCAGACCTGGAAAAGTAGATCCCCACCAGACGTGTTTCTGTAAAACCTTGT